TAACGTAGTATTGGTATACATATACCGTACTACTTTATCAAGTGATTTGGATCATATACCCGACTACTTTATCAAGTGATTGGATCATATACCCGACTACTTTTATCAAGTGATTTGGATCATATACCCGACTACTTTTATCAAGTGATTGGGATCATATACCCGACTACTTTTATCAAGTGATTTAGGGTCATATACCCGACTACTTTTATCAAGTGATTTGGGATCATATACCCGACTACTTTTATCAAGTGATTTGGGGTCATATACCCGACTACTTTTATCAAGTGATTTGGGATCATATACCCGACTACTTTTATCAAGTGATTTGGGATCACCTAAACCTGATACATTACATTTATTTGTCATTTTTATACCCACATTACGAAATAACAAAAATATATAAACAATATTCACTTTTAAAATTACTGTCTCTGTTAGTTTAGGTTATTCTCAGTTGTTCGTTAAATACTTTAGGTAGAATATTAATTTCATACTAATGAGAAACAACGAATGTCACCAGGTGTATTCGTACCATAACGCTTAAAAGCCTATTGCTTTTTACACACAGTATAAATAAAAAGAACATAGTTTTTAATTTTGTAGTTTCGTGTCATGCCACAAAAACTAACCACCGTTTTACTAAGGGGCTAGTAAGCTTACTGCGCATATTTAATTCTCTCAATTGTAGGCAAAACTCAACGTTATGATAGCAGATTCAGAACTTCCCAATAAACAGATATCTTAGAGAATCCAAACCTTACATTATATAAATAAAAATAGTTTTTATAGCTTTGATCTCAATAACTAAAAAAATCTAAAAACTTCAGTACATATCACATTTTAAACATAGTAGATTATAAAAATAAGTTGATGAGCATTTTCTTCAGTTGCCAAAGATTTCGACAGTAAATTCTTTGAAACTCGTAAGATACTATTTACGTAAAAGGCATAGACGTTTCAAATTGACAAACGTAATAAAGCAATTTTATAGTAAATCTTTATTAAAAAATATATATCTGTTGAGCCAGACTACTAAATGCAATAGCTTTTTAATAAGAGGAATAACTGACTGCTGATAAAAACAACATTTGGTATTCCTCTAAAAATGACTCAGCGGTAAGACTGATGACATATAACACAAAAATTATGTGTTCGATCCCTGTGGTAAATGTAGGACAGATAATCCATTGTGAGCTTCGCGCTTAACAGAAGTCAAATTTTGATAATGCGTGCACGAAAATTTTTATCAATCGGTGTACAGTATAAAAAGAAAACATTATCCATGAAATGTGAAATGCTAACTTTTTAGGAATGACAAAAGCCCAAGTACTAAAACAACCATAAACAAAAACTTTTTTTTTTAAATGGAAAAACTTCAGGAGCATTAGATTATAAAAGCGAAGCAAACTTCAAATATACACGTTTATACGCATTTACAATAAATAAACTCTTTAACTTACCATTCAACTTTGAAAATTGGTATTTGGAGTAATAAGTTTCCAAATAAAACACTTCAGAACAATAGAGTCCCTGCAGGCAAACGAGACTGAATTTTTTAATATGAATAATGTTTTCGATTAATGATTTCAATCGAAACGCAATGTAGTTATTCGCTTGTCAGTGCGTTGTATGCTTAGATGTTGTTTATATCTTATAGAGAACTTAGATATCACTCGTCGCTCCTCTAACTTTTACTCATTAAACTTTGAGCTTCTATTTGCCCTCTAGCGGTCTTTTTTGTGGCTGAGGGCAATTACAACACTTGTAACTCTTCTTTACCCGGAAGTAATGAACAATTTTTATTACGGTTTATAACATGTGAAAAATAGGTATTTTGTTGATCTTAAACAACAGATATATCTTGTGAGTTGTGAGTCTTCTGTTTATGGTTATGATCCCAAATGAAGTACCATTCAGAACAAAATCCCTAACTGGATCGTACCAACACTAACATTTTTCAAAAAGGTAACTGACTGATGTAAAGCCAATAATTAAGTTTTCAAAACATTGAATCATCGTGCGACTGATGATTTATTTAATATTAATACAAACAATATATGTCTTGACAGATATTTCCCAGAAAGCTAGAATAACTTTTTCCTCTTACTGACTTGTTTGAAAAAGAATAATAAGCACAGTACGTGTTAGCCAAGTAACCCTTTCGCCAACTACTTCGAGGAAGAATAAGAAGCACTATATTTGACAGTCAAATAACCATCACGCCAACTTCTTCGAGGAAGAATAAGAAGCACTATATTTGACAGTCAAATAACCATCACGCCAACTTCTTCGAGGAAGAATAAGAAGCACTATATTTAACAGTCAAATAACCATCACGCCAACTTCTTCGAGGAAGAATAAGAAGCACTATATTTGACAGTCAAATAACCATCACGCCAACTTCTTCGAGGAAGAATAAGAAGCACTGTATTTGACAGTTAAATAACCCTCACGCCAACTTCTTCGAGGAAGAATAAGAAGCACTATATTTGACAATCAAATAACCCTCTCCCCAATTTCTTCGAGGAAGAATAAGAAGCACTATATTTGACAGTCAAATAACTGTCTCGCCAACTTCTTCAAGGAAGAATAAGAAGCACTATATTTGACAGTCAAATAACCCTCATGCCAACTTCTTCAAGGAAGAATAAGAAATGCTATATTTGACAGTCAAATAACCCTCTTCAAGAAAGAATAAGAAGCACTATGTTTGATAGTCAAATAACCCTCACACCAACTTCTTCGAGGAAGAATAAGAAGCACTGCATCTGACAATCAAATAACTGTCTCGCCAACTCCTTTGAAATGGGATAATAAGAGCACACTATATATAGCAGAACATGTGAAATATATATGAACTATTAATGACCCTCGGCCTATTATTCTTATATTGAATATACGATGTCTTTAATGATAATAACATAGGGGGTGCTATTTTTCTGTTTTCTATAGAACCGTCGTCTAAAGAAGTAGCGCTCTTTTATATTGGCCCTATCGGTGGCTCAACGGTAAATCTGAGGGCTTATGACGCTAAATATTGGGTTTCAATACTCACGTTGCGCAAAGCACAAATGGTCCATGTGTAGCTTTGTGGTTGATATAAAAAAAACAATGAAACTTTTATATTAATTTTATAACTGTTACGACCGTTACAATAATTGTTTAGCCTTTGTCGTCTTCATTATGATAAGGTAACATTAAGTTACCTGAGGGCTATTTGCTCTAGCCGTTCCTAATTTGAAGTGATAGACTAGAGGGAAGGCAGCTAGTCAACAACACCCCCTGCCAACTCTAGGGTTACTCTTTACCAACGAAATATTCCAACATTACAACGACCCAATGGCTGAAAGGGTGAACATGTTCAGAGATGGGATTCGAACTCATGACCCTCAGATAGCGAGTCGAGTGCCTCAACCACCATGTCCTTGGTAATGTCATTCCGGAGTTGAATCTGTGAAATTGTTATAACACGTCGAGTATGATACTCTCTAAAGCCGAATAAAGTTGTCTAGAAATGTAACAGTAAAACTCCCTCTGGTGGGTATAGAGAACAGCGCTCACTAAACTCCATTGATTATAAGTTTTTCATTCCTATAACTGTAACATTTTCTCACAACTATTTTACTTCTGATACTTTTGAAACTGGATTTTGTTATTTATGGAATTGCAACCGATATGTATCTGTTTTCAACTACCGTATAAATGATATTAATTCAACAGATTATTTAAAAGAAACAATAATCTTAAAAGTTCACTTAAATGTGCAACATGACATAACCTCAAAGGTCACGTGATCATGGAACACGTGAAACTGGACCAGTTAGTGCATGAAAGAAGGCCATAGTAACAGAGCTGGTTGTTGGAACGTAATACCGCATTCAGATTCACTGCATTTGTATATAATCCTAAGATCAACGTTGTATGGTCTTCTGAAAAAACGGACTTTGGACAAAATTGAAGATGAAACACAAGACCATGTAATTCACTATCCACAAGTAAACACAACATTAGTTAGTCATGGGGTGCAAGGAGAAAAAGGACATTCATGTAGAAAGAAAGATAAACCCACACACACACACACAGACACGTACACGTGGCACCAGGATTATTATTATTATTTTACATACAATTATTACGATTTTTTGCTTTGTTCCAATTATATATATATATATTGGCAAGGCAGCATTTTGTCTTGGAATAAAGTATTTATATAAATTATTACTCATTTCAGAATTATATTTTGTATTATTTATAAAGTCATTTATAGATTGCTTAGAGCTTATTTTGATTGGTTAAACAATACATTTTCTTATGTCTATTTGATTCTACATGAAATGCGTCCGTTTGCATAGTTTGATTCTGCGATATTTATCTGCAGCCACAAATGAGATTTCGTTTCTGTAACAAGTGTCGCCAGTTACAGAGCATCTTGTGAAAATTTGAAGTCTTTGAGGGCATTGACACTCTTTGAAATTTAGTATAATTAAAGGCTACATTATATTTGTTAAAATTGTGTGTGTGTCTTTCCAGCAAAATGTCATATTAAATTGTAAATTGTTACGTCTAGTAAACTGTTATCTATGCCATGGTTCGGAAAGCACTTTGACATAGTTATATTTATTTACAAATGTTTAGTAAGAACAGATATTTTTTTGCACTGAACCTATTTATTAGGTCGATATTGGCTATCGATGGTTACAGGATTCTGAGTTAAAGAAGGTTGAGCTACATAGTTATTGAAAAATGGCTTCGATAGCCTGAAGTGTGAATGAAACATGAAAAACAAGAGGGAATCCTCAATAGACGCGGCACTTGAAATTCTTTTAGGCAGAATTAGAGTAAATTAATATTCGAGACCTCCTTTTTACCCTTTTTATTGGCTATATTTTTGTTTGGCAGCAATACCAAGCGTGGGGTGCGTATACCCAATTCGATTTTATTACTCATCAGAACCTCTACCAGCCTGCCCTCAAATTGAAATTATTATAGGCAGGATTAGAGTAAATTAATCTACGAGACTTTGGGCGTAGTCAAATACATCAATCGAAAGGGTTTGACCTCCTGAGTCCCAAACTGTAATTAGATTTCAAATCGGTAAAAAGATGACGGAACTATGAGTTAAAAGGTTGTACTTGAAAAAAATAAAAAAAATCAGAGTCATTTTACGAGCCGCTATGCTGCGGCTAAAAAATGAATACTTAAATACCTTTTTACTTAAGGCTATTATTTTCAATGGTACGCTAATCAGATCTAGTGGAAAGTATCAAGACGTCGTACAGTCAAATATAAACAATAACAAAAACTTTCGTTAATTTCGAACGAAAAAACAACAATGAACCAACAAACAGAGATCATGGAGTTTTTGTATAGGTCTTATAGTGCTGTATTACACCCTGAAACAAAGAAACAAGTCGTAAAACACGGTAATAGCCACGTTTTTTTATTTAATTACGTTCTGAAACCGGAAGGTCATATTCTATGAAAGGCATATTTATACTTTATTATATCCTGAAATAGGTATAGCCGTATTCAGTGATATAGATATTTATAGTTTAATATATCATGAAATAGGTATAGTCGTATTCAGTGATATAGATATTTATAGTTTAATATATCATGAAATAGGTATAGCCGTATTCAGTGATATAGATATTTATAGTTTAATATATCATGAGATGGGTATAGCCGTATTCAGTGATATAGATATTTATAGTTTAATATATCATGAGATGGGTATAGCCGTATTCAGTGATATAGATATTTATTGTTTAATATATCATGAAATGGGTATAGCCGTATTCAGTGATATAGATATTTATAGTTATTACATCTTAAAACGGGGAAGATCATATTCATTAGTGGGTATGTTTAACTAGTAGTAGATCCAAAGGGCCTAGACCCCCCCCCCTTTTCCATGGAAAAAAAAACAAATGAAAATTACAAAATTAAATAGAAATAAAAAGAAAAATAGAAATGCAAGAGGCATAAAATATTGTTTATCGTATTTTTCGGAATATAAGACGCACCCTTATTTT